CCATTGGAGTGTTCCAGCCGGGAGAGCTCCCCGGGAACCCTTCACCTTCCTCTTCCTTTTAGGTGCCGTCCGTCACAGCTAGGAGCCAACTCTCAGCCAGTTAGGAGTGCCCAGATTGTGCTGCATCAATATGTATCTTAAATTTTTATAAATTATTAATTAATATTTTAATTTACATTAAATAACATAGTATTTATTATTTACAAAATATTTGAGAATATAATATAAATTGAATCTATTAAATCCACTAGTATACATTTATATAGAAAAATAATTTTTATTTTATAAAATCTATAAAAATAAAAATATTAATATTAATAATGGAATAATTATTTTAGTAATTAAAATTTATGAATTTTCATATGATATGCATCTTCAAAATTTTAATAGGTTTAATATATTTAAGTTAAGATTATTTGTTTTTATAAATTATTAATTGATATTTTAATTTACATTTTATAATAATATATATATATTGTTTACAAAAATGAAAATATTGTTTACCAAACATTTGAGAATTAGTTTTTGAGTTGATTTTTTTTGTTAATGTTAAAATTAAATATAGTAAAATCGAAAAAAATGATATAATAATTCAAATGTAATAGTTGAATATGTTTTGTGCCTTGGACTTTAATAGAAAATAAAGTAATAATGGTTTTTTACATGTATTAATTTGTAAAACTCCATATAATTTGTGTCATAGACTCTTGATTGATGCATTATCAATAAAATTGTATAATATCTATGCATCACACTATATTAATTGTAACATATTTTTTCATATATACCATTAAAATACACAATTCTTATGTATTTATACATTAAACTTGTTGTTAATAATATATTTATGTAATTTGTATACATTTTCCCACTATATCCAAGTGTTTCTTGTTTCTCATGTGTATCCATGTGTTTCCTAAGTGTATCTGTATCAGTGTTCAAATTGTCCAATACAATGCCCAATACCAATACTTTAATCATTGAATTTGATATTTTAAATTTATTTCTATTATTAGCTTATTGTGTTTCATTGGGTTTGTGACTTGCAAGGGCGTCTATGTGAACTTAAGGAAATCTGAATTCGATCCTTTTATAATTGAATCAAATATGGATCCAATTGTTCCCAATCCAATATAATCCGATTTTTTAGGTATTAACATTTGATTATTGTGTTCTTACTAAAGAGTCACCAATTAAAATTTATTTTCAATCTATTTTGGTTATTATCAAACTATCAAAGTCATTTTTAGTTTAATTTATTAATACTATTCTATATCCATTTTCAATCCAAATTTAATTCAAGTCCAAAATAAATCCAATATGTTTGCAGCCCTACCCTAGGATAGGGCCATGAGGCATGAGTCATGATCCTTTCCTATTTGGGTTTGTTCGGTCCATACTCACTGGCTTAACTCTAATCATTGGGTTTGATCCAGGTTATTACCCAAGGATAAAACATGGGCTAGGGATGGTCATTTATGACTAGCCTGGACCTGCATCAAGCTCACACATAATGCGAGCTAGGCTTGGGCTAAGCAGCCCCTAGGCCTAGCCTAAAAGTTATATACATATATGGTATCATATCTTTTATCTGTATCGAATAATATTATATATATGGTATAATATCTCTTTTTGGTAAGGTATAATACCTTATATATAGTATAATATTTAATAAAATACAAATTTACTAAATATAGTATAATATTTTACTACATATATAACCACATATAGTTGGGATAAGGCATGGATGATGATGATATATGGCATAATATATTAATATACATATAATATTTTTTGTATTTTTATGTAAATTTGGCTATAAAATAAAAAATAAAAATTTAATTTGAAATAACCATAATCTTATAACTAACATGACTACACGAGTGAGCCTGATTGCCCAATCCATCTTGTGTTCGAACATATATTATCAAGGAGTCCGGATTTCCTACCCATACCTATCCACATAACATCGAAGCCACACATGGGGAACATCTCATCCTCTTACATGTTATTAGGCATGGGAAGATGTTCCCAATGGTCGAAGATAGTGTTTTGTGGGCAGGTGTGGGTAGAATTCTTGTAGGCAAGAGATCCAGAGTCATTATCAGGCCAAGACAACTTTAAAAATTGTTAATACACTATCAAATCTATACTACTTTAAAAAGTATCAATAGCCCCTAAAAATTTATAGAATTTTAGTTGGACAAGTTTTGCCCCTCTGCATTAGTGTTTTCAGATTTTAATTTGAGGACAAATTTGATATTTTATTGATTGTTTTAAATGAGTTATTTAAATGAATTGTAACTGAAATTTCATGGAGTGTTTAGCTAGATGTATTTCTCTCTTTTAATTAATATTGAACAGAATCGTTGTTATTTGATCATCTTCAAGAGTAGGTCCAATTGTCACTATTTAATGATTTTAAAATGTGGATTTTGAGTGTGGCTCTACATTTTTGATTTTGGTTTTTGGGTTAACTTTTCTGTTGGTTTATAAGTAATTTCTACCCAATCTCAAGATGTTTGAAAGGATTACATCCAAAATATCCATTTCAAAAAGTCAATAATTGATTGTAACTAAAATTTCATGAAATGTTTAGCTAGATTTCTAAAATTATAAGCATCCTAATATCAACAAATAAAGAAAAATACTTAGGTGCTCTAATTATTCAAGGCATAATTAATAAGAAGGCTCTGAATAACATCACAACTAAAATTAAGAAGAAAATTTAGGGTTGAAAATTGAAAACTCTTTTTTAAAGATGAAATAACTATCCTTATCGAATAAGTTTTGAATGTGGTTCTTCTATTTACAAAGTGCCAAGTCAGTAAAGTCTCTTGGTAGTTGTAGGTGAGAGACTTGGAATCAAATCCCACCTACACCTAGGTTAGGGGGTTATGGGTTTGGGGGATGGACCACCCCCCATTGTGTAGCCCTATGGAGAAAAAAAAAAAAAAACGTAATTCCACTATTTCAAATGTTGTTCAAATGAATATACCCTCAAAAAGATTGATAAAATTCAAAGTTGGTTCTTTTGAGACCCAAGAAAAGGTAAGGGAGCAATTGTAGAACAAGTTAAAAAAGGCTTTACAAATTAGTGAGTTTTATTTTTGGGAAAGTCATTTAAGAACACTGGATTTTCTGGAAAATCTATAAGAAGTATTTTCTCCCTTTTTGTTAATGCTTTTGTATTTGAATTTGAGGGCAAATCAAGTATTTTGTTTATTGTTTAAAATAAGATCAAAAGAGGAAAAATTGTGCCCTCCATTGTTAACTTCTTGCTGAATTGTATAAGAGGACAGACTACACAACATGTCTGTTTTTTTTTATAACTCACAACCTTTCTAAATAGACACTATAAATCATAGAACTTATTGAGTTGTAATTGAAATTGCATGGATTATTTAGTTGGACAAGTTTAACTATTTGAATTTGGTCTCTCTCTCTCATGAAGATATAAATTGTAAATTGAATATCATTTTTCATTTCATTCTATTCTCTCTAATTAAGTTTCATATTTTACATTATTTAAGGTTAACTTCTATTCTCTCTTATGGAATGATATGTTTAATGTATTTTTGTTTCTTATCATTAAATTTCACTAATTAAATTCACAAATAACAATTTTAATAGTATAAAAACTTGTATATTTAAAATCAACTTGGAAACAAAAACAGTTTTAAGTATGATAAATAAGAAGTATTTTTATTAATGATAGAAAGGGAATACAAAATTTAAAACTGACTTAGCAATGCAATCACTTTAATATTTGTTAAATGATGAAAATGAAATACAAAAATTATGAAAAGAGAAAATTAATGTCTATTCCATCACCCTAGCTACTAAATAAATCAAATGATTCAATAGTTTGATTAGATAGGTCACCGTGTTGTTGTAGCCAAGTCAATGGTTTTTTTAAAGACAAGCAATTTAATGAAAAATTAACCTAAATTTGGTCAAATAACAATTCAATTAATTTGATTGTTCTCTAAGCAAGCAATGGCTCAATTAATACAATAGATTGAAAATATTAATATAAGCTATAGAGTAATAAATTTTGATACAAGTCTTTAGGTTGAAGAGTAATAAATCACCAATATATATATATGTTAGTTATCATTTGAAATTGTCACATACCAAGCATACAGACATTTACGAATAACCCAAAAAACCGCCCATAATCATCTCCTAGTTGTGAGGAAATATCGTTGACATGAGAAATTATTAAAAATTCATTGACCAGCAAATACGCCCACGAGGAATTCAAATTCCACGCAAATTCAGTTTTGGTAACGCGGCAAGTTGACTGCTTTATTTTATTTTGTTTTGGGTTGTCCAACGTTGCCTCAAAAATACATATTTGGATATTTCGATTACATTATATTATTTTCATGGAATATTAAATTCCAAAAATCGCCCTTAGCTCTACAAGTAACTGAACTTGGAAAGAGAGTAGTATATGGTGCAGCTAATCTGATTATCTGATACAGCCTTGCTAGTGTTGAGTCTCAGGGTTTTTCTATGGTACCGGAAAGGTATGGTACCTACAAAACTTCAACCAATCAGAAACCCTGAATTTAAAATTTTAAATGACTACAGGTTTTTAGGTAACGTACATTTTCGTTACCATAGTAAACAACCCAAGTACCCCAACTGAGAGATGAATTCAATTGGTCTGATGGTCTTGATCAATTGATGATTGTGGTTGGTGGGACCATTTTATGATTCTAATTGACTAATAACACCATGAAATCCTTTTGCTTGGAGCTATTTTCCATGGAATTCCAATTCCTTCCTGGCTATAGTTGGACAAACGAAAATTATGAATGGATCTATTTTAGGCATGGCTAATTACTGGGACCCTCGTATGGTGCAGAGGTTTTCATGTGACAACACTGGAAATATTGACTACTTCCTTTCCTCCTAGAATTTTTTTTGTTCTGCTGTAATATTTGAATAATATTTTCATCTCTTTTACAGTTCTTTCATACTTCTTTGTCATTTGCATCAAGACGAGTTTGTTTTGATAAAGCTGAAGTGTCATTGCAAAAAGAAGCTGAAAAAAAATTGTGTAAATGTTTCGGCTTGAAAATTTTTTCATTCTTTTTACAAGGAAGTTAACCCAGAATTGAGGGTACTGGGTACGTGAGAGAGTTACGATAATGTAGGTTCGTAGGAACAGAAGCAACGTGAATTCATATAAATAAGGGACAAAGGCTACGAAGCAGGTGGTGATACAAGGAGAGAGGAAGATGCAATAGCAAGAGAGAAGAAAGACAAAGCAGCAGCAGCAGGAGAGAGAGAGAGAGAGAGAGAGAGGCTTGGGGAGTTGCCACAATGACGTTTGCAGACAGTTTTAGCACCTATTCGTGTGAGCAGGATATAGAACAGATATCTCTAGATGGAAGCCAATACAGCCTTACAACCGGGGTTCTACCCGCGCTTGGAGCGAAGAATAATCGCAGAGCTAAGCTTCGTTGGTTCATTATTTCGCCTTATGATCGTCGCTACAGGTTATTGGTCTCTTCTTGTTTCTTTATAATCTCTCCTTTCTGTTCTTGGGTTTTACTCTCTCTCTCTCTCTCTCTCTCTCTCTCTCTCTAATTTAAGTTGTGTATTTATCTTATTTTTCTCTTTGTTTATTTGGGCCGGTGATAAAAAATGTTTGAGTAGTGGGTTTTGGTGTAATAGTTTTTTCTGAGAGAGATATTGGTTTGTTAGCTTGTTTTGAATGGTATTCAGAGGATACATCGTAGTTTCTTTTTGTTCTTTTTAGTTTCGTTCCAATTTCTTGAATATTCCTGGTTTCTGTGCTTTTTTTCTCCTCTTTGTTTTTTCTACATTTCCTGCTGTTATTATTTTTTCTCTTTGTTTATTTAGTGATGGGAAATAAGAAAAAAAATAATTCGCTTGGTGGGTTTTGGTGCTGTACTTAGAGAAAACATAGTAGTTCCCTTCTTTACATGGGTTTCATTCGAATTTCTTGAACACTAGAGGTTTTCTTTTTACTATTGAATGATGGGGAATAAAAAATGATGTGGTTGTCTGGTTCTAGTTTATAGTTTTCTTTTTCTTTTTCTTTTCTTGTTTATTTATTTATTAAGAGAGAGAAAGTGGTTTGTTTTTAATGATATTGTAGTTAGAGAATAAATATTGCAGTTTATTTTTCATTTCATCTTGTTTTGTTTTGTTGTCTTTTCCATATCTTTGCTATTGATTTGGGTCGTATTTCAGAAAGCGGTTCAACTTGGAAGCTTTTAATCCTCCTATTTGTGTGAAACTTGAAGCATAGAGGTTTGATTGGTTTGTGTTTTCTGATTTTATGATTTATTCTGATTATGTGTACGAGTCATTCTGTCTTTTTTAGGTGATTGAACAATAAAGTATCAGAGACCAACTATTATCCCCTGTTTTGTTTTTTAAGATGTTTCACCTGGGTTATTACCAGTGGAAGAAGTTTGTCTTAACTGGATTGTTTGACTTCCTCTTGGTTAATTTTGGAAGAGAAACAATTTGCAGGTTCCCCTTGCATTATTTGGCATGCATAGATTTCTAGTGTCATAGGCTTCAAAAAAAAAATCTAGTATTATGTTTGAACCTTGAACTGGTGCAAGAGAATTTGTAAAAAAGAAGATTATTTTCAGGACTGCATGTTAAGAAAACTACTGACAAGAAAAGGAGCATCTTGGACTGTTTCTCTGTCTTTATTTCCCTTCCTTTCTTGATAGGAATTTGTAAAAAGTTTTGTTGATCTATGTTCTTGGGTTCTGTTTTTATTGGCCTGGTGTGTCAAAATTGTCATTTTTTGCAGAGGAGTTCAAGATTTTCTATGCTAATAATTAATCAGATCCACATTGTTTAACCGGTTAAGAAATTGATTATTGCAGAATTTGGGAAACTTTTCTAGTTATTCTGGTTATCTACACTGCTTGGGCATCTCCATTTGAATTTGGGTTCATTGAGAAACCAACAGGAGTTCTTGCCATCATTGATAACAGCGTTAATGCAATCTTTGCCGTAGATATCATCTTGACCTTTTTTGTTGCCTACCTTGACAAAAATACTTATCTCCTCATTGACAACCCAAAGCTGATTGCTTGGAAGTACACTCGTACATGGCTAGCCTTTGATGTCATATCCACAATCCCATCTGAACTTGAATGGAAGGTATTGCCCACTTCTCTCCAGTTTAATGGCTTCTTCAACATGCTTCGTCTATGGCGTCTTCGAAGAGTGAGTTTACTCTTTTCCAGGTATAGAAGTTTTCAAGATCTCTAGTTTAGAGCTGTTACGTTTGATATCACTAGGTTCCTGGAAGAATTATATGGATTTTTGGATCCTAAATGTTTAAAATGTTCTTATTTATCAGATTGGAAAAGGATAGGAAATTCAATTACTTTTGGGTTAGATGCATGAAGCTTATCTGTGTGAGTATCTTAGATAAACATTTCATTATTATTATAAGAAAGGGGACTATTTGGTCCACATGCCTTACTAGTTTCTGGATGTTTGTATAGGTGACTCTCTTTGCAGTTCATTGTGCTGGATGTTTCTTTTACCTTATTGCTGCAAGGTACCGTGACCCGAGCAAGACATGGATTGGATCAGTTATGGGTAACTTTCATGACACAAGTGTGAGAGTTCGGTATGTGACCTCAGTGTACTGGTCTATCACTACACTATCAACTGTTGGTTATGGGGACCTGCATGCTGTGAATACAAGGGAAATGATTTTTGATGCCTGCTACATGCTCTTCAACATTGGATTGACATCATACATTATTGGAAATATGACCAATTTGGTTGTCCATGGGACTAGTCGAACTAGACAATTTGTGAGTGCTTTTCACTCTCTTCTTTTGTCTGCTGTACAGAGCTTTTTATCTTGTTTGCAATTTACTGATTATTAGTATGCAATGGAATGAGGTAGCATGCTATTTCTTGTAATATGTACCTACTGCATTCATTATCTACTAACTTCTTGTTGTTTGATGTTCAGGAATATTTACTTTCTTGACTCTGTTAAATATTCAGTTTTGTTTTTGGTTTTGTTGTTTGTTTATGAATTTTCGTCTTATAATTTTGTTGTGTCTTTTCTGGAAATACAGAGGGATGCAATTCAAGCAGCAACATGTTTTGCACAGCGGCACCAACTCCCAGTTCGCCTGCAAGATCAAATGCTTGCACACTTATGTTTGAAGTACAGAACTGATTCAGAGGGTCTGCAACAGCAAGAGACACTTGAATCTATGCCTAAAGCCATTCGATCAAGTATATCACATTTTCTCTTCTACTCCCTTATTGATAAGGTTTATTTGTTCCGTGGGGTATCAAATGACTTGCTTTTCCAGCTGGTAATCTTCTAACAACACCCAAAAATTTAAAGATTTGCTATTTAGATCATTCTCCTTACTCAGGCTTCTTGTATTCTGTGAATGTTGAAGGTCTCAGAAATGAAAGCTGAATATTTCCCCCCAAAAGAAGACGTGATCTTGCAGAATGAAGCACCCACAGACTTCTATGTGCTGGTTACTGGTGCTGTGGTGAACACCTAACTTCTTCCTTTCGGTTTTCAAAATTTTTATTGTATTCTTTCCCTAATGTTGAATTAATAAGTCCAGTAACCAGAGATGCCTTTGTCTCAAATTCATATACTTATCACTCAAATACTCAATAGTCAGGAACATCCCCCCAGCCCCCCAATACCCTACACACAGACATGTCATTGTTTGCAAAAGCAGTGGCTCCTGATAGCAAAGTTAACCTTGCAGGATCTTGTGGTACTGAAGAATGGAGTAGAACAGGCAAGTATATTCGCTAAAACATTGCTAAAATTTTTATTAGAGATGAACCTTTGGGATGAAGTAAATCTTGATTTTCCAAAAAAGAGAGCATTCTCTAAGACAAACCAATCAATGATTGCAGGTTGTTGGAGAAGCAAAGTCTGGAGATATCTGTGGTGAGATTGGGGTACTTTGTTACAGGCCTCAACTGTTCACTGTCCGAACCAAACGATTGAGTCAGCTGTTGAGGATGAACCGTACTACATTTTTGAATATTGTTCAGGCCAATGTTGGAGATGGGACTATAATAATAAACAATCTCCTACAGGTTTGTAGAACTGTTAGTCCAGATGACATTCATTGGAATAAACTAGGCATCATTTATTTCCTTTTGGGTGTTTCTCTTGTGTTGTCTGCTCTGAGGGAACAAAAACCAACTATTTTCTTTTCCTGGGAACAGAAAAACGGTGGAGGGTGGAGATATTCTTTGGAATATTATTGGACGCTATCTCAGTTACTAACCCATCTAGGAATAGGAATTTATTTTAGTTATTTCAAAGTTCTTTTTTATAAGTTTTAGTTATTTCAAACTTACTAAGAATTTTATAAGTTTTAGTCATTTATTTCAAACTTACTAACCCTTTCATAATATCATCAGCCTCTCCTTAGCTAATTGGTATTCCTTAATTGAATGATTTGCTAATTATCAAGTTTGGTAGGAATAAGGAGTCATTAGTGTTTCTACAGTACAAAATTAAAGCAGGATTATGGTTTCCACTCTTATAAATGTAATCGGTTTTGTCATGTTACACAATGTTGACTTTTCTTTATTGTGGGGCAGCATTTGAAAGAGCTGAAGGACCCATTGATGCAAGGGGTTTTAACAGAAACAGAGAATATGCTAGCTCGGGGTAGAATGGACCTTCCACTTACCCTCTGCTTTGCAGCATTTAGGGGAGATGATCTATTGTTGAATCAATTACTAAGAAGGGGTTTGGATCCAAATGAATTGGACAACAGTGGGCGCAGTGCTCTGGTGTGCAAATTTCCTTTGCTTCTACATTTTTTCTGAAACTTTAATTTCTTCTAAATAATATCTCTTATTTGGTATTCTGTTATAATATGTCTTTAACTTTTAACCAGCACATAGCAGCATCAAAAGGAAATAAGAATTGTGTGCTTCTTCTACTAGACCATGGGGCAGACCCTAACAGTAGAGGTATCTTCTAATCCTTAGCCAAATCCATTTAAATGTCATTGTTATTATCCCTGCCCGTCCATTACTTGCTTTGTCTTTCTGTTCTAGTGTCTGTTTTTCTTGCAAACCGTAGGTTAACTTGATCAAACTTTAGGGTTATAAGAAAAAATTCAAATCAAATCAAAATTTGGGATTTATTACTGTACTTTAAATGACCAATTCATGTAGCAGGAGCAAGTGCCTAGGAGAGAGAAATTTGATAGATAGATGTAACTTTTTGGAGTTAAATCTGTGTCATATGTATGCATAAGCATATCTATTCACATGTACACATCTATGAAATATCTGTGTATAAGTTATATGTGTGTGAGAAGTGGAAGGATGACAGAAAATGGGGTACACAAGTTGTATGTTGGCACTTGGCATAGATAGAGAAGTGAGGGAGGGGAAGCTGGGAAAGAGAAATTAAAAAAGAGGTGTATTATGGGTGATTTTTTGAAGATAAAGTGGCCTCATCTAGTCAAAGAGGAAATGAATATTCATTTTATGTAAACTCATGAGTGGATGAGTATTGTGGAATTGGGTGTTGGAAAAATGTATTTACAAATTACTGTAAATAGAGGTAGTGGACAAGTTCCAAATTAACTGGGAGTGAGAACTCTTACTCTTTTGTCCTATATATTAGACATTTGGCTCATGCCTTCGACCCATCAAAACATTTGCAAGTTGTAAACTTTATAACTGCTTTCCATGTATTTTAGGAGCTCAGTTCTAAGCCAATTTTGCTCCATAATGGTAGAAGCAATGGTTTGAACAACGTGCCCCTGTGGCACAGTTTTGGTCACTACAGCTATACCTTATTCCATATCCTTCTCCTCCATGTATGTACGGCCTTGCAAATATGTCACTTTTTGTGTCATTATGTGAGTAGTGGTGGTGTTGAGGTGTTAGAAAGTAGATCCAGTAATGTCCCCCTTTACCTCTTTCTTCTAATAAAAATGGTATTCATTACTATGAATTGCAGCAAACGTACATGAAATCTGTTAGAGAAAAAAGTAATTCTAGAGTAGCTACACAGAAGAAATCATTTTCAGCTATAGAAAAAAGTTAAAAGTGTCATAAATGATACCAGTCCCATGGCTCCTGAAGATAGCTTGGTTGAGTTTGCTGGATTTTTATGAATTAAGAATAAAATAAATAAATGAAAAAAAAAGTGATGTATTAACATGCTTCCTTAAGCAGGTGGCATCTTCTATAAAAATATATCTGAGTTCCTTGTAGATAGTGTAATGGAATGCTTCTTGTATCAAATTCCTAATACTTTAACATTTCCACTTATAACTATGTTTCTCTATTTCTTCAAATTGCTTTTTGGCCTCCTTGTTTTATGCTTTTTCACTTCCAGAAACAGATATGCTTAAATATAGTTATGGTTTTTCTATTCTTTCCCATTTTAAGGGATCCAGTACATGCCTTTGGATTTATTTTTCCAACTTCAAACATTAGACTATGAACTGCAGTGCTTATTGGGAGCTTCAATAGAGGACCTCGTAATCTCTATCCACAACACAACTCCACAGCCTCATTTTTTATCCACACCCAAGTCCTTTTTGTTATTTTCATATGGACTTTTCGCTAGTAAGGGCATGTTCGTTTCCTCTTAACTCTTATTTCTTAAGAATCTTTTAACTTTAAAAGAAAAATGATTGTTTGTTTCCTCTTATCTCTTATCTCTTAAAGTGCAATCATACAACTTTTTGTTTTCCAATGATACCCCCAAAAAAGACAAACAAAGATTCTCATATATGGGGTCAAAATGGATATTTGATAATTTTCAGAATTCAGAATTCAGAACAACATTCCCTGCATTCAGAGTTCAGAGGAAAGAAAAGTTCATCAATACCAATATACCTCTTAATGTAATTATTGCACTTTTAGATGTCAGACTTCAGAGCAAACGAACAGGCCCTAAGTCAAGCCAAATCATTTTGCCTTTAAAACAGGCATATGTCCCTTTCTTGTGCTTGTCAAATGGCCTTTAAAACAGAGACTCCTTTGTGTTTGTCTACCTTAAACTTGGCAAACAATTTTTTGATAATGTACATTTAGTATCATTTTATAACAATTGATTGATGATATATCTTCTTTTCTTGCCCTCTGCAGCACAGTCCCTTTCTTGTGCTCTTGCAACTGTTTCTGTTGGTCAACTATGAAGCCAACTATATGGAACTTAATATTACCCATTTTCTTTCTCATAAGTCATAACTTGCTCCCTATGCATGTGTTTAGTATCAATGTCATTTCTCCCAAGGCATTTCCTCTAAGTCAATGCCATGTAGGTGTTTTCTCCTCTCTTTTACTCTTTCTTATTTGGTTGAGTGTTTTTCAAGCGTTTCCTAACAGTTTCAAGTAACACTCATACCTTGGGTTCTGTGCAAGCAACTTCCTGAGGATATGTCAAAATGATGTTTATTTTAATGAAGAAAACGTTTTGTCCTTTTTTGCCTATGTAATTGGCACCAAATAACCAAGGTGTAAAGTACCAATATGATACTCCTGATATAGGGCGTATCGTATCCATATCATGGCCATGGGTATGGGATATGCCATAATTGGGTACATATCCACGAGTTGTGCATATCAACACGATATGCCTCTGTATCAGGTTGTATCACACCGTATCAGTGGATATGATCTGATACGCATCGACACAAAAGTGTATTGGTGCTTATTTTGATGAAATTGTGTATTGATTGCTTTTGGGTTGTTTTTGAACTTTAATAAAAATTGAAAACTATAATTATAAAAACTGAAATAAATAATTTAAGATTTAATTTTCTCCAACAATTTAATAAAAACTGAAAATTATAAAAAAAATTATCTACTCTGTTTTTTTTGCAATTATATATAAAAATTAAAAAAAAATGTATGTTAAAAATGAAAACATATTTAT